TACTAATGAGTATTTTAAAAAAAAAATTAGTACAAATAGAACATCAAGTCACGGTGATCAAAACCTCACAATTTTACTGTTACATCATATAAGAATTCAACTTTGCACATCTCCATTGTGGAGGCAGCCATCTTGTTGCAGCAAGAAAAGTAAATGAAACGAGCACGGCAGATTTAACCTCAAACCAATGAGACTGCTGTGAGGATCACTGAGAGCAGCACTTGAAGAAAATGAGTTTAGCAATGCTCTCAACAGCATCACTTAGTTTAACAACAACCCAAATATCTGCAATATTCAAATCAAATGTAACTTATCAAATTTTCAAAAATACAAAAACATCCAGTAATACAGCATTTTCAATAATCCGGCACCATTCTGGTCCAGGCTGTATTAACAAACTTCTACTGTACTAAATGAATAATATAATTTTCACTTATATATTTTATTATTTTAATATAGTAAAATATTAAAAGGAATTGTTAAAACTATCAAAAATAATTGCAATGGAAAATCTGTCCAGTAATTCCCATTGACACAGTTTTGGTTTTATAAGTTTTTCCCAGTAAACTTTTAGCTCATCATTGTGACTACCAAAACTTGATTCCAACATTTATGGATTGCTGTCCATCATATTATGTTAACAGCTGCATTAACATACAAAGTTTATCAACCGAAAATGATGTGATTACTCAAATACTTATTTACANTTATAGGGGGGTCTACTGTATTTATCTGTAATTTTTCTGCAATTAAGAGATTTTTATAAGTTCTTTCTGGAACAAAATGTATTACATTAACAAAAATCTAATAAAACAATGCATGACAATTAAAATTTATATGTTTACGTGCTTTTCTTACTAAATAACTTCTGGGCTGTTTAAAAAACAAGAGAAAATTGAATTTTATAACATCAAAAACCAATGATAATCTCTGAAACCATAGATATACCAAATAAGAGGGAATCCATCTTTTAATCAAGTAAAGCTGTTTGATAAAATCCAATTGAATTCTGTTTTCTTTCTCCAAGCATTCAACTCTATGTATTTCCAATCCATATGATATCAAAGATTGAATTATCAATAAGAAATTTTGTTCTATTTTTAATGTAATTTAAATGCTTAATGTAAAATGACCATTAGTTGAAATAATGTTTGTAATAATAATTATTATTATGAACTCTTTAAAAATTGCAATTAATTTTCATTTTGTTTCAACTGAAGTGCAGCACTTTTTGTTATAAAACCTGCTGCTGAAGTACTGTATATCAGTGCAGATAAGATGAGACAAGACGGTAGTTGAATTATAAAAAAAGACCCCAAAATCTGGGGTAGTCTTATAGGACAGATACAAAAAAGAAAAGAAAAAAAAAACAGATTAAAATTTATATAAATTAAAACCATTATAAAAATCCAACAAATCATAATTATTTACNTGTTGTCAATCAACATTCAAGTAATGCAACTACCAACTCTACAGCCATCAAATGCAGTAAAAATTTTTTTATTCAAATGTTTTTAATTGTCTTAAATGGAAAATTTTTTCAAGAACAACTGTCTGGCATTCATTCCTTTAAAATGTAATTGCAAATGTTATTTCCTGAAGAGGAGTGTTTAAGATGCTTAAAAATGTTTGAATAAAAAACTTTTTACTGCATTTGATGGTTCTAGAGTTGATAGTTGTACAGTGCAGTTCCTGTAGGACAGGGATCACCAAACTACGGCCCGTGAGGTCAGTTCATCCGGCCCATTGCCACACTGTGCTACAAACTAGCTAAAATATAATTATTTACAGGGAAATATCATAGATTGTAGATGAACTTACTATGTAAAAAAATTAAAAGTATAAGTAAGACTGACTATCAGAATGCTTTTTGTGTAAGTACCTGCAATGAAGTTTCTAAGGGAAGTGATTGCGAGCTTGCTGCAGCTATCATGTTTGTGTATTGGTAAATAAATATGCTGATTGTCTTTATTTATTGTGTATTCACAGTGTGGTGTACTGAACAAAATGGTTATAAGGCCCGTGCTCGTCATTCTCTCAGTTATCTGGCCCGCTGTGAAAAAAGTTTGGTGACCCCTGATGTAGAAGTTAAGAAATAACTTTCATCATTTGATTTTATTGTCATTATCTTTAGATTTGGAAATTTTGCCTGTTTCATCTTCATTGATCTCTCAATCTATAAAATTGGGGGTACCAACACCAACAAGTCTTTCCAGGTTTCTACCTTGTTATGGTGGGAAGGATTGCAAGTATATATAAACCCAAAACGTGTGAAAGTAGCTAAGTAGCTTAGCTATTAAGAGGATAATCACAGTTCAAGCAAAAAGTTATCAGACTAAGTAGGACAAACAGTTCTACAGGTTGAGATTTATGCATAAGATTGATTCATTATCATATAAAAAATGACAAAACTTATCAGCAGATAATGCAGATAATTTTTACAATTCATTACACAGGGGTAAGGGTGTTTATAAAAATGTTACATAATGCTAGGATCTTAGTCCTTATTAACAATAATTCAGTTCTGTTTCTGAAAAATTTGCATCGTGAACCATACCGTTTATATTATTGCTTTGTACATAATTTATAAAATAATGTAATGTTTAGTACTCCATTCTGTATATTATTCCTTAATATAATTATAGGGATCAAGGATATGCATTGCATAATTTTGATGGTTAGTATGTGCAATGCTTTATGGAGCATTATAGAGGGTGAGATAATAGTTAAAGCAAATATAGTATTTCATAATTTATGAATCCTAAAGATTCCTAAAGATCTTTATAATTATTTAACTGTAAAAAAACAAATACAATCCACATCAAAATATAAAAGGAATTTAATACCAACTATATTATGAATAAATTAGAGGTAGGATTACACCATCTGCCTGTAGTCTTAATAAATAAATCATCGTCAAATATCTGATAATGTGTTTCTTTTTTTCTTAAGTAGAATTTGCATAGCCTTAATAATTTTTAGATCTGCATTTTGCTTTTACAAAAAACAGTTTACTTGCATTTCTTGGCTCTTTCTTAGTACAGTATAGAAACTGAAGGTTAGCAAGATTGAGGCTCTTCTATAGTGCTTAGCCGTGCTGCAAAATCGCATCTTAAGGGATAATTAGTTTGTACTTTAACCACTTCTATAACTGAAAAAATGTGTTTGAAGAGCTACATTTATAGAATATTTTGTATTCCCTTGGCCTCTAGAACACATTGTAAAAGTATTGCCATTACCTTGTGGAACAACTTGTATATACAAATCATATTTAAAATATCAGTTTGTCAATTTAATAAGTAAATGACATTTATAAAGTCATTTAGTTATTTCATTTTATATTATTAAAATTTAGATTAACATCGCCATTTCAAAGTCATTAGATATCAAAAATTCTGGATCATACTGCTTTAGATTTCATTATCTGTATTAGTTACATTAATACAAATATGTAAAATGTTAAATTTAAATATATCATACATTATAATTAATTCATGAGTTATAATACTATGTGAGAAAATAAATACAAGGGTCGTCCCAGAAGTATCCAACCTGATGTATAGATGGTGGTAGTTGTTTGAAAAAATTACTGTGGTTGAAAGTACCAACCTAATAAAGCTTAAGCTTGAAGACGCTATGTTGTTTAGTATTTGTTTGACAGCCATCAATAGTGATGGTTATCAAACAAATACTACAATCTCAGTGAATTTGTAAACATAGAAAAAATTGGTCATTGCTATGTGTTACAATACTTTCATTTGAAAGGTCTCAGTCCAACCAATATCAAAGCTGAACTAGATTCTACTCTGGGGGTGTCTGCTCCCTCATTTACAACAATAAAATATTGGGTGGCAGAGTTTAAACAAGGCTGTAGGAGCTACCAAGATGAATGTCGCAGTGGTCGACCAAATGAGGTGACCATGCCAGAAATGGTGAAGAAAATCCACAAAATGGTATTGTATGACCATCAACTCAAAGTGCAAGAGCTAGCAGACATGGTAGGCATTTCAAAAAGTGCTGTACATCACATTTTGACTGAAAATTTGGATATGAGAAAGCTGCATGCAAGATGGGTGCCGTGTTTGCTCGCAATGAAACAAAAACAGCATTGTGAGGATGTTCTGCATCAATAAAGCAGAGTTTTTGCATCAATTCATAACCATGGATGAAACATGGGTCCATCACTTCACACCTGAGACAAAAGAACAGTCAAAACAATGGACTGAAAGGGGAGAATTGGCTCTGAAGAAGGCAAAGATAGTTCTATCTGCTCGCAAGGTCAGGGTGTCAGTTTTTTTGGGATGCATATGGGATAATTTTCATTGATTATCTTCAAAAAGAAAAACAATCAACGGCAAGTATTATGCAAACTTACTGCAGCGCTTGAGTGATAAAATCAAGAAAAAATGGCCGCATTTGGCGAAAAAGAAAGTGTTGTTTCATCAGGACAATGCACCAGTTCACATATCCATTATTGTGGTGGCCAAAATCAATGAGTTAAGGTTCAAATTGCTTCCTCACACACCTTATTTGCCAGATTTAGCCCCCTTGGATTATTTTCTCTTTCTAAACTTGACAAAATGGCTTGGTGGTAAAAGATTTGCCAACAATGAAGAAGTGGAGTGTGTGGTTGATGGCTATTTTGAGAAGCTTGACAGTTCTCACTATAAACAGGGTATTGAAGCTACTGAACATCACTGGGAAAAGTGTATTGAGCTAAAAGAGACTATGTTGAGAAATAGATATGTTTTCCCAAATTTTTTGTGTCTTCTTTGTTAGATCGGATACTTATGGGACTACACTCGTACACTAATAAATGTATTATTTTTGTTTTATTTCTTAAATATATTTTAAATTTCTATCTAACAACAATAGATTAAAAATCTATTGTTATTATCATATTTTCCCTAATTATCCTATGTTTAAAATAATGTTATTTATCAATGTATTTAACTAAAAATATATTACAATTATCTCAATATAAATTTATCAATAATATAATTATTTAATATATAATTTTACCTGAAATAATTATCTGGTAAATTTTCTGTTTTAATAAAAGCTTTTTCAAGCAACAAAAGTTTATCATTGAAGGCACGAACAGCATAAAAACTGAAATTTAAATGTTTGCATTAATATGATATAATTTTGTAAAGAAAATTTTAAAATAATATTACAAAAGTGTTATTTACAATAGAAGCTTATTAATATAGCAGTTGATAATTCAGAAAGTCCAATAACCTATAATATCTGAACAGAAGCCAATAATACAGGATGCTAGTATTCTGTAAACTGGAATTTGTTTGGACACATGGTACACTAGAGTTCCTAGATAGTAACATGTTCATTCACATTTTTGCAGGTTTTTTAACCAATCTTAACACAGAATAGTCATCACATACTGTATCATCTTCAGAATGATTAAGGAGAATGCATAAACAAATTGGAAGAATACATCTGTCTGCACTTGTACAAACTGTATAGCAATCAATTTCTTGTTAAATTCAGCACTGCTGCTTTCACTGTGAAAATGCTGCAATCGGTGCTGAAGGTCTTTTAACAATGCACACAGAATAATGGTGGATCTTAGTGTAGCTATTAGAATGTTTTTAATTCGAAACATTTTATAAGTAATTCATTTTTGTGATGTAAAGCTTTGTTTAGGAAGTAAAATTAATAGTATAAATTTAATGTATGCAGCTTCTTTCTGCAACATAAAGCAGATAATAAAACATTTTAAATATACAAGTTTTGTCAAAATCTCTTTTTACTAATGAGTATTTTAAAAAAAAAATTAGTACAAATAGAACATCAAGTCACGGTGATCAAAACCTCACAATTTTACTGTTACATCATATAAGAATTCAACTTTGCACATCTCCATTGTGGAGGCAGCCATCTTGTTGCAGCAAGAAAAGTAAATGAAACGAGCACGGCAGATTTAACCTCAAACCAATGAGACTGCTGTGAGGATCACTGAGAGCAGCACTTGAAGAAAATGAGTTTAGCAATGCTCTCAACAGCATCACTTAGTTTAACAACAACCCAAATATCTGCAATATTCAAATCAAATGTAACTTATCAAATTTTCAAAAATACAAAAACATCCAGTAATACAGCATTTTCAATAATCCGGCACCATTCTGGTCCAGGCTGTATTAACAAACTTCTACTGTACTAAATGAATAATATAATTTTCACTTATATATTTTATTATTTTAATATAGTAAAATATTAAAAGGAATTGTTAAAACTATCAAAAATAATTGCAATGGAAAATCTGTCCAGTAATTCCCATTGACACAGTTTTGGTTTTATAAGTTTTTCCCAGTAAACTTTTAGCTCATCATTGTGACTACCAAAACTTGATTCCAACATTTATGGATTGCTGTCCATCATATTATGTTAACAGCTGCATTAACATACAAAGTTTATCAACCGAAAATGATGTGATTACTCAAATACTTATTTACAGATTTTTGCTGCAATGGAAAAGTTGAGTGAAATTGACTTGAAGCAGCAGCATTCTTTCCATTGTGAGATGTCAAAATTGCTTAGTCAGCATATTTTCACCATGGTTCAGCACAAGTGGGAACTGAACTTAAATCAAAATAATATAAAATCCTCTTCTACATTATTTTGATTTAAGACTGGTTCTCACTTATTCAAATATAAAGTAAGTAATGCAGAAGAGGAAACTCTCCACATTACTTATTTTATATTTGAATTTTGAATGGAGTGCTGTGGAAATATGATGTTGCATAAATATGAAAAAATCAAGGGACAGATAACATAAGAAACAGTGAAGTTTTTGGAACAGTTAACAGAAATAAGCCTTGTGAAGATAATTATGAAATGGGAAAGAGCATTTACCAGACACATTGTAAAAGAAAACCTACAGGAAAAATAATGACAGTCTTCAGGAAAAAATGGAAAGTTTAAAAAAGAAATAGGAAGATCATAAAGAAAATGAATGGTGATATAAAAAAAAAACAAATAATGAGATTCACTGAACAGAAAAACTTAGAAGAAAACTGTTTTGTTTACTGCAACCCTCTGAATACAGGAGGCCAGAAGAAAAGAAAAATGAAATAAAATTTTTTCATAGTTGAATAAAACCTCCAATTAATCAGAAGTTCACAAAACAAATAGTATTACTTAAATTTTTAAAGATATTGTGATTAATATTTTATCATATAAGTCAAAAAACTTATTTAAACTTATATAGAAAAGCTTTTTTTAATATCTTACTTTGAAATGTTGATTTTTCTCTTGTTTTGATAAAATTTATTAACTTCTTTTTGAAAGAGGTTAACAACTGCATCTAAATCATCTATATAAAAAAAAGTTTTCATTATTTTGAGAAAACATAAATTATTCAAATAATGACTGCTAAAAGCTGGCTAATTTTAAATAAACTACCATCACAAAAACCAAAACACCAGCAGTAATGGTAAAAAATGGCTAATGTGAGTTTTTACCATTTCTATTGGTATTTTGATTTTGTGATAGTAATTTATTTAAATATTAATCCTTGTCTTGTCTTTTTAGGAAAGCTTCCCATATATGCATATCTGATAATATACTGTATTGTATGGCATACCAGACACAACTTAGTCCAATACAGTGGCTCAAACAATAAAAATTTACCCTGTGACTTATATGTGAAGTGTCCCATACAGGCTAGTGAATTTCTCAAATTACATGAACTAGTATTTATGGTTATCAGGTATTTTAATTATAAAATTCTTTTTGCTATATCTAAGCAATTTTTGCATGTACAATATTCATGTATGATATTTTAATTGTAAAGAAATTGTATTCTGATATGCTAATCTTATGCTTTATGTTCAATAAAAAATACTGGTAGCTTGCTTTTTATAAACTTTTTGCTATAGCTAAGCAGTTTTGTAATATTAATGTCAGATATTTTAGTAATCAATTTTAGTTGATAAAATGAAGGAAATGAAGAAAGAAGTGACCAAACTTTTGACTGACTGCCATTTCTCCAACTTTCTTCACAAAGGCATTTGAAGATCATGCCCATTTCCTGAAGAAAGTATGTAGAATAAAATGGCTCATACATTAAAAAATAAATGTATATAACAATGCCTTTTATTAGTAAAAAGTTTAATAGTTTTCTGTTTCTCATCCATGTGAGTCTGAGGACATACTGACCCAAACTTCTGACTGACTACTCTATATACAGCAGCATTTATTAATGATGAAAAATTTGATCATTTCTTATACTATTTTATTCTTACAGTATTTTACTTTATTTTTATTTTAGTGGTATAACAAAAAAATAAAGTGCATGTATTAAAATAGTAAAATTTATTATATATTTTTTTATTTTCTTTGTTTTTATATTTAAAATTTCAAATATTTTTACAAAAAATAGTTTAAATATTCTAAATTTAACAGTTTTCTAGAAGATTATGATACTTAATTCTGCATTTGAATTATTTTGTACAGTCGACCCCCCTATAACGTACGTTCCTATAACGGAAATTCCTATAACGTAGCGAAAAAATTGTAGCAACTTTCGTATAACGTACCTCCTATAATGTCGTTTCGTGAGAAGATTGATAGTGTCTGGACCAATAGTGGATGAGCAGCCGAACTACTTTCCTCTGACCCTGCGCCACGCTACGGAGCGGCTAAATTGAGTTTGCTATCGTCTGTTTAGTATTATATATAAATTAGGTACTGTACATATAATTATATATTAACTTAATTTATTGTAACTTTATTATAATTATATATATGCTTTCTGCCGCCTGGCAACACGCTACGGAGATTTTAGGCTAGTAAGTTGAGTTTATTATCGTCTGCACAGTATGTAAATTAGGTACCGTAAGTCTAATACAGCACTAATTTTATACATTTCTTGTGAAAGAAACACTTCTTATTCAACGTCCATAAAAATTATTTATATTAATGATGTCTCCAAAGGTCAAGTTATTTTTATGCGAAAAATTCGTTATTAGAAATCGCGGCCGCCGTTTAATGTGCTGTTCCGCGATGAAAACCAGCTTTAAGCAACGGCGTAGTCGAACGGTACACACTCGGTAAGTAATCCTATAATTTTTTGTTTATAGCATAGTTTATATGGATTACTCCCAAAAAATTATACGTATTTTGGAAATGTTGAGTCGAATTAGTCTAGAATCGGTTAATTTTATAGAAGAAAACCTTTCGAACAGCCTTAGTCCGTAAAGTTCCCACCTATCGGGCTGCGATTGGCTCATGTATTTAATCATTCCTACAACGTAAAATTCGATTAGCGTAGAACGTATCTAAGCGTTATAGGGGGGTCTACTGTATTTATCTGTAATTTTTCTGCAATTAAGAGATTTTTATAAGTTCTTTCTGGAACAAAATGTATTACATTAACAAAAATCTAATAAAACAATGCATGACAATTAAAATTTATATGTTTACGTGCTTTTCTTACTAAATAACTTCTGGGCTGTTTAAAAAACAAGAGAAAATTGAATTTTATAACATCAAAAACCAATGATAATCTCTGAAACCATAGATATACCAAATAAGAGGGAATCCATCTTTTAATCAAGTAAAGCTGTTTGATAAAATCCAATTGAATTCTGTTTTCTTTCTCCAAGCATTCAACTCTATGTATTTCCAATCCATATGATATCAAAGATTGAATTATCAATAAGAAATTTTGTTCTATTTTTAATGTAATTTAAATGCTTAATGTAAAATGACCATTAGTTGAAATAATGTTTGTAATAATAATAATTATTATGAACTCTTTAAAAATTGCAATTAATTTTCATTTTGTTTCAACTGAAGTGCAGCACTTTTTGTTATAAAACCTGCTGCTGAAGTACTGTATATCAGTGCAGATAAGATGAGACAAGACGGTAGTTGAATTATAAAAAAAGACCCCAAAATCTGGGGTAGTCTTATAGGACAGATACAAAAAAGAAAAGAAAAAAAAAACAGATTAAAATTTATATAAATTAAAACCATTATAAAAATCCAACAAATCATAATTATTTACTGGTAGAGTAGGGTATGTCCACAAAATAGAATAGCCCATATGACATTTTTGTGAATAGTCAAGGTCATTACCCAAATCAATGTGAATGTTTGCAACAATCACAGGGCAGTGCTACCAGATGAAAGATGATAAAATTCGTTCATTTGAAAAATTACGAATAGAACATAATTCTGTATCTGCTATACAGTATTATTATCCAGATGATGATCGTTTATCTAAACTAAATTCATAGGCTTTTGATAGTTTGTGCGTCATCTTATAGGACATATAAATGCTAAAACTATAAAACTTTTTCAAAAATTTATACCTCGTCTTATCTTCGCAGATATACGGTATTTATTGTTGGCAATGAATTCTATTGACCTCATGTTTGCATTTAAAATTTTAATAATTTATTTTTTGAATTTTGCTTTGTCAGTAAGACGTTTTTGAATTATTAATAAAAAGGTTATCATGGTGTTTTGGAATCAGAGTCACTAGATATCCATTGCCTGCTTTGTTTTGAAATAATATATTTTGTCAGTTTGAAAAATTTTTTGTTGTTTGTCTTTTTGTTATTGTTTCAATTATGTATGCCTGTATGTAAGTGTATTACTACTTTATACTAATAAATAAATTAATTAATATAAATACAATGACTATAAATTCCATATTAGATTATACAGATTTTTTCCTTTTCAGAAGCAAAGGAATTATTATATGAAAAAAATATAAAGCATAAAATAAAAGATTTATTAATTATTTTTAAGTTTTATTTAATAAGTTCAAAATACAACAAAATTCAAACATAAATTATACATAATAATTTTATATAAAATGACTAATAACTAATATAAAATTGTTTCTGTATCTTCAGAAATACTATTGAGATAAAAAAATATTAACTAAGATATCAAAGTTAACTCTTATGTAAAAAAAATTAAAATTCAAATACAGTAGAGCATCAATTATCCGACCCCCGATTAACCGTCACATTGGTTAACCGACCTAGTTCTAGACATTCTAGTCGGCAAATTTCAAATGTCCGCTAGTGATGTAGCACTACAATATTTGGCTATGTCTTGGCTACTTTAATATTATTTTTGTTAAATTTTTGCATGTTTTAGCTGGCAACACCAGCTCGACCATTGAAGGGAGGCGCGTATTTAAACAAGACTTAATTTTCTAATTACAAGTGGTTGTTTGTTTGTTTTGTGAGCAATAAAATAACTTAAAAATAATTTTTAATGATACAATAGCGACGATTATTATTTTTTAAAGAATTCACTAGGCTTAACATCAATGAAAATTCAATGCGAAGTTGGTTAATAGCGATATACTGATATAGTAATTACATGGGATATACTAATATACTATACTAATGTATTTTTTTCATTTTTTTCGGTTATCCGACCAACCTGAGTCCCCAATTGAGTCGGATAATTGATGCTCTACTATAGTGTTTTTCAACCTGTGGGTCGCGACCCCCAGAAGGGTCGCAAAGCCTTACACGGGGGGTCGCGGCTAAAAGAAAAAGACAAGTGTTTGTAGGGCCTACACTACAATAAAAAAACCTACAATCTCAGTGAGAAGGCTGTGCCTGTTTATTTTACAGTACAATTGGTTTTTTGATCGATATTTAGGTCTCAGCAGAAAGAAAGTTAAATATGTAGTTTTTAAAATCACTGACATAGTTTTAATATGGCCCTGGGGGGTCGCCAGAATTTTTTAACTTGTAAAGGGGTCGCTTATTCAAGAAGGTTGAAAAACACTGCTCTAATATATATAAAATATTGAATATTTTTAATTAATTAAACAGAATTCTTACCATGCTGAATGATTTTTAAATTCACTAACTGCTTTTTTAATATTTTTGCAGAATAATTCAAAAATGCAGCATAATCTCTAATTTCGAATGGTATAAGTGGTAAATCAGCCAGTTGATGAGTTACTTCAGCCCACAATTGTGTTAATGCTTTATGATACTTAGAAAGAAAAAAAGTTAATTATACTTTTTATCATTATAAATACTACAAAAATTATTACTGGTACAACTAGAATAATGGTTCAGTGGACAATAAATATTTTAATTTAAAATGTACAAAGGATGGTGATTTAATTTGTGGACAGGAGTGAAGACTTACCTTAAATGTTATCTTCAAAATCTTCTGGCCATTGGCCTTTCTCAAAATACTCTGTTGAACTTCACACATTTCCAGTGTTGTACTCATGCATCAAAAGCTTATTTGAAGCCATTCTATAAAAGCATGCAAAGTGCTGTTGTGGCTCTGCAAACTTCATTGTTAGATGCAAAATATTTCTCTTTCAAAGCTCTCTTCAGACATGGAAAGAGGAAAAGAATTACAAGATGCTAATTTGAGGAATACAACAATGTGACAGAACCTAAGCACCTATGGCAGTGACTATTGGCTGCACTGTATTAGCCACAATGACAACACTTTTCATGCTGTTGAAAAATGATTTCAACTAAGACACTTTTAACGCATGGGTACAATGCTTACAAAAGTGTATGAGGTTCAAAGAAGATTATTTTGAAAAAAACAAAAAGCTGGAAGATTCCAAGGATGAATTTAAAGTTTTGCTCCTGACCATGAATTAAATAAACACCTGTCATATTAAACATAAATTAACAGATAGATTAACTATCAAAACAGATAAAATAGTACAGTTATATAACAACAATGTTGTATATTTATAGGTAGATGTATCATGTACTTTTTCATTATCCTAAAATTTTAAATTTAATCTACTATTTATAGGATAGTAAACAATGGGATTATATTACTTAACATGCTTCTTTTAAAAAGTTATTTGTTATAATAAAATATTAAAATGTGATTACCAAATCATTATTAAGATAATATTTCTTACAAACATTTTCATATAAGTAAAACTTTATAAAATTTTTATAACTTAAAAATTACTTTTATAAAATTTTAAAGTTATGAGTGCTATATTATAATCATAATTATAAATATTCTAAATTCTAAAATGTGAGAAGTTGCTATATGATGTTATGTTGCTTCAGAAGTATTAGATGTAATAAAATACAAACTTGGTTAATTCAAATTTTACAAATTCCCTTTCAGTATAAAGAAAAAACAAATTTCTCTCAGAAACTTGTTGTTTTTTTTTTTTTGTCAGAAACTTTGTTACTTTTTCTGTGGGGCTATCTCAAATCAAAAGTGTACCAACATCAACCAACAAATTTTCAAGAACTCAAGGCAGCAATTATGCAAGAAATCATGGCAATTCTGCTGAACATAGTCCGTAGATCAATGCAAAATTTGCAAAAAGAGACTTCAAAACTGCATCAACATTGACAGTTGCCATTTAACTGACGTACTCTTCAAAACCTAATGGATGACAATGGCATACTGTGTACTTATCAGGTATAAAAGATTTTTTTCTCTATCTTGCTATGTATTTTTTTTATTGTCGTTCCAAATCAGAACATTCTTTCTGCTGCACCCTGTATTTGCAATAAATGCTTGCCAGTTCTGACCTGTGTCCGCTTTTTATTTGGCAACCATTATAATATAATATTAAAGTACAGTGGGTGATCGGTTAATGAACACTTCACTGAACAAACACAAGAAGCGATGTAAAATAATGAATACTGATTGGTCTTCCTTTGTCTTCAGGCAACAATTCAAAACTTTTTGAAGGCCGGGAGACGTCGACATTGATGTTCTACCCAATATATACTGATCGGATAGTATTCCCCCGAACTTTGAAACTCTCCCTAGTAATTCCAGCTTTTTGTATTTCTGACAAACAATTCTTTTACGTTTTCTTTTGAAAATGCGGATTTATGCCGATATCTGCTATTAAAGATCATTTGAAGAAGTGGGAGGATGTCAGAACAACGGTCTTAAAATGGCATCCAAACCAAGTTGAGGTTAATAGGCCTAGGGATCTCTACAATTACAATGCTATTAATTACTTCTGAAAAATCATGAAGATGACAGAAAAGCAATCGACATTAGACAGATTCTTTAACCCTCACAAACAGAAAAAACATGACTAATAAAAATGAAAGACCATGTATATATGTATTTTTATTATTACATATGAATAAACGTAGTAAGAAAGTATATACTGTATTTTTTTATTTTTTGAGGGTCTCCAGAATGAATTAATCAAATTACCATAGAAACCTATGGTAAATCGATAATCAGTTAACAAACAATTCGTATAGCAAACAAAGTCTTGGAATGGATTATGTTCGTTAACCGATCACCCACTGTATTGTCTTTTGTCACACACGACTCCATCTGTAATAACTAAGCATTAATAATGAAACAGTAAATGGTAAAGGAGTCAAACGAATTTTATAAAGTAAAATGTCTTTTGAGACTAAGTCTATCTCTTCTTAACGTTGAATCAAAAAGTTTTTAAACATCAGAAGAAATTTGAACTTCTGTAGATAGTAGCCACATGTTTAGTTGGAACCCCAAATTTCAACTTCCATCTTCAAAGAGTAATAGGGCGTGAAAGCAAATTTTACATTTCAAATTCTGTTTTTTCCNCAGAGTTTTTGCATCAATTCATAACCATGGATGAAACATGGGTCCATCACTTCACACCTGAGACAAAAGAACAGTCAAAACAATGGACTGAAAGGGGAGAATTGGCTCTGAAGAAGGCAAAGATAGTTCTATCTGCTCGCAAGGTCAGGGTGTCAGTTTTTTTGGGATGCATATGGGATAATTTTCATTGATTATCTTCAAAAAGAAAAACAATCAACGGCAAGTATTATGCAAACTTACTGCAGCGCTTGAGTGATAAAATCAAGAAAAAATGGCCGCATTTGGCGAAAAAGAAAGTGTTGTTTCATCAGGACAATGCACCAGTTCACATATCCATTATTGTGGTGGCCAAAATCAATGAGTTAAGGTTCAAATTGCTTCCTCACACACCTTATTTGCCAGATTTAGCCCCCTTGGATTATTTTCTCTTTCTAAACTTGACAAAATGGCTTGGTGGTAAAAGATTTGCCAACAATGAAGAAGTGGAGTGTGTGGTTGATGGCTATTTTGAGAAGCTTGACAGTTCTCACTATAAACAGGGTATTGAAGCTACTGAACATCACTGGGAAAAGTGTATTGAGCTAAAAGAGACTATGTTGAGAAATAGATATGTTTTCCCAAATTTTTTGTGTCTTCTTTGTTAGATCGGATACTTATGGGACTACACTCGTACACTAATAAATGTATTATTTTTGTTTTATTTCTTAAATATATTTTAAATTTCTATCTAACAACAATAGATTAAAAATCTATTGTTATTATCATATTTTCCCTAATTATCCTATGTTTAAAATAATGTTATTTATCAATGTATTTAACTAAAAATATATTACAATTATCTCAATATAAATTTATCAATAATATAATTATTTAATATATAATTTTACCTGAAATAATTATCTGGTAAATTTTCTGTTTTAATAAAAGCTTTTTCAAGCAACAAAAGTTTATCATTGAAGGCACGAACAGCATAAAAACTGAAATTTAAATGTTTGCATTAATATGATATAATTTTGTAAAGAAAATTTTAAAATAATATTACAAAAGTGTTATTTACAATAGAAGCTTATTAATATAGCAGTTGATAATTCAGAAAGTCCAATAACCTATAATATCTGAACAGAAGCCAATAATACAGGATGCTAGTATTCTGTAAACTGGAATTTGTTTGGACACATGGTACACTAGAGTTCCTAGATAGTAACATGTTCATTCACATTTTTGCAGGTTTTTTAACCAATCTTAACACAGAATAGTCATCACATACTGTATCATCTTCAGAATGATTAAGGAGAATGCATAAACAAATTGGAAGAATACATCTGTCTGCACTTGTACAAACTGTATAGCAATCAATTTCTTGTTAAATTCAGCACTGCTGCTTTCACTGTGAAAATGCTGCAATCGGTGCTGAAGGTCTTTTAACAATGCACACAGAATAATGGTGGATCTTAGTGTAGCTATTAGAATGTTTTTAATTCGAAACATTTTATAAGTAATTCATTTTTGTGATGTAAAGCTTTGTTTAGGAAGTAAAATTAATAGTATAAATTTAATGTATGCAGCTTCTTTCTGCAACATAAAGCAGATAATAAAACATTTTAAATATACAAGTTTTGTCAAAATCTCTTTTTACTAATGAGTATTTTAAAAAAAAAATTAGTACAAATAGAACATCAAGTCACGGTGATCAAAACCTCACAATTTTACTGTTACATCATATAAGAATTCAACTTTGCACATCTCCATTGTGGAGGCAGCCATCTTGTTGCAGCAAGAAAAGTAAATGAAACGAGCACGGCAGATTTAACCTCAAACCAATGAGACTGCTGTGAGGATCACTGAGAGCAGCACTTGAAGAAAATGAGTTTAGCAATGCTCTCAACAGCATCACTTAGTTTAACAACAACCCAAATATCTGCAATATTCAAATCAAATGTAACTTATCAAATTTTCAAAAATACAAAAACATCCAGTAATACAGCATTTTCAATAATCCGGCACCATTCTGGTCCAGGCTGTATTAACAAACTTCTACTGTACTAAATGAATAATATAATTTTCACTTATATATTTTATTATTTTAATATAGTAAAATATTAAAAGGAATTGTTAAAACTATCAAAAATAATTGCAATGGAAAATCTGTCCAGTAATTCCCATTGACACAGTTTTGGTTTTATAAGTTTTTCCCAGTAAACTTTTAGCTCATCATTGTGACTACCAAAACTTGATTCCAACATTTATGGATTGCTGTCCATCATATTATGTTAACAGCTGCATTAACATACAAAGTTTATCAACCGAAAATGATGTGATTACTCAAATACTTATTTACAGATTTTTGCTGCAATGGAAAAGTTGAGTGAAATTGACTTGAAGCAGCAGCATTCTTTCCATTGTGAGATGTCAAAATTGCTTAGTCAGCATATTTTCACCATGGTTCAGCACAAGTGGGAACTGAACTTAAATCAAAATAATATAAAATCCTCTTCTACATTATTTTGATTTAAGACTGGTTCTCACTTATTCAAATATAAAGTAAGTAATGCAGAAGAGGAAACTCTCCACATTACTTATTTTATATTTGAATTTTGAATGGAGTGCTGTGGAAATATGATGTTGCATAAATATGAAAAAATCAAGGGACAGATAACATAAGAAACAGTGAAGTTTTTGGAACAGTTAACAGAAATAAGCCTTGTGAAGATAATTATGAAATGGGAAAGAGCATTTACCAGACACATTGTAAAAGAAAACCTACAGGAAAAATAATGACAGTCTTCAGGAAAAAATGGAAAGTTTAAAAAAGAAATAGGAAGATCATAAAGAAAATGAATGGTGATATAAAAAAAAAACAAATAATGAGATTCACTGAACAGAAAAACTTAGAAGAAAACTGTTTTGTTTACTGCAACCCTCTGAATACAGGAGGCCAGAAGAAAAGAAAAATGAAATAAAATTTTTTCATAGTTGAATAAAACCTCCAATTAATCAGAAGTTCACAAAACAAATAGTATTACTTAAATTTTTAAAGATATTGTGATTAATATTTTATCATATAAGTCAAAAAACTTATTTAAACTTATATAGAAAAGCTTTTTTTAATATCTTACTTTGAAATGTTGATTTTTCTCTTGTTTTGATAAAATTTATTAACTTCTTTTTGAAAGAGGTTA